ACCACTGCACATCGGCCCGGGTGACAAAGCAAGACTTGTTTCAGAAAAAAAAAAAAAAAAAAAAAAAGATTCTGAGGAGGTCTGCACCCCTCCTCTACCATTTAAACTTTTGACTGAGAAAGGCTCTCCCACCAACTGTCGTCCTCTTCGGAGGTCTCCCTGAGCCAAGCCTGACTCACTCCCCTGCCCTCTCCAGGCCCCTTATGAAAGAGCCAGTGACTGTCAGGGCCCAGGGCAGGAATTGTGAATAGGCCCCTCTGCCCCGTTGGCAAAAGGCTGAAAAGCAACCCGGTTCCACCTTTGGGGCAAAGCTGGTTTTGCTTGTTTATCAGGAAGAAAGAATAAAAAGCTGGCAGTTTAAGAAAAAAAAAAAAAAATGAATGAATTTCAGCTGGGTAACTCCTACTCTTTAAGCCAGATCTGGAATTTCAATGGGCAAATCCCCAATCTCCCTTTTACTGGCCATGTGATCTTGCACACACTGTTAAACACGTTGTGCCTCCTTTCCCTATAAATAAAATGGGAACCTCACAAGGCTGTAGTGAGGGTTAAATGAATTAATCTATGTAAATGCTTTAGAACTGCTCTGGAATATAATGAACAGTTATTAAATGCCAATCATAATGATTATTATTACCATTGGACAGGGACAGAAACCTTTGGGGCTTTGGCTTTGGAAGAACCTGTTCCTGTAGCTTCCGGGTCAAATCCCCTCCTGCTCTGCCTTTACGCTGACCTTTGATGGCCTTTTTCAGTCCCCTGAGCTCGGATATTTGCTAAGTGAATGAGTGAGTGAACAAATGAATGAGGTTCTCACTCCAGCACAGTGAAGACACTGGGACAGATTCCTCTCTTCATTACAGATGAGGAAACTGAAACCTTTGGATTGTGGGGGGCATGCGGATTGTCCAAGGTCACACAGTGAGTCCGTCTTAGAGCCACATCTAAGAACACCCCTCTCTTCACCCACTCCCCTGCCCCAAATCTCCCACACTCTCCAGTTTATATATTGCTTCCTCTTTTCCAAATGGCAAGAACGATGTCTATGAGGAGTTGCTCAATTGGTTACAGGAACAAGGCAACCCCCTCCCGCCAAGCATTAGCCTGCTCCAGGCTGTCCCTCTCCATAGAGAGTGGCTGTAACTGAAGGGGAAGCAGCGGTTTTCCAGCCCTGCTTGCCATCACTCAGGCACATCCCTGCCCCTCTGGGCCCCAGGTTCCCCATCTGTGTGTGAAGGAAGGATGCCATCTGTGAAATGAAATCTGTGGTTTTCATAATGTCTTCAAAGCAGGGAAACCCTTCCTTTGAAGGAAACCTTCAATAAAAGCAACAGATGAAAATGAAACTGTTGGGGTTGGCTTGGCCCACACAATCTCTCCCTGCAGAGGCCTGAGAGTCCCACTCAGTAGGAAACCCCTTGGCTCATTGGTCCCTAAAGGACTCTCTGGTCTGATTTCCTCTGGCACTAGATGGATGGAGGGCCACTAATATTCTTCGAGTTGATGAGAGGGTGTGTGGAGGTCCCCCTTGGGCTAGAGTTCAGGCTGGCAGGAAGCAGGGTGTCAGGACAAGTGGTCAGTGTGGGAGAAAGGACAGGACACAGTGGGGGAGTTAGGGAGCTGTGTTCAAATCCATTGGTTTGCTTACCAGTCAGTGTGTGAGCTTGGGCAAGGTACTCAACCTCTGTAAATCTATAGAATGAATTGGTAATAACTGCCTGGCTATGCTGTCACAAATATGGTGACACAGAAAATACCGAGCTCTATGCCTAACATGCAGTTGAAGATTAATCATGGATGTCACCAGTATTAGGGACAAGAGGCTTCCATTGAGCCCAAGGTGATTGCCTTTTCCATCACACTTGCTGCACACCGAGGCCCAGCAGAGAGACCAGGGCTGGGAGCAGGACCTGGGAGTCTCTGAGCACTGAGCCAAGCATCTTCTGGAATTTCAGTTGTGCCAGGTGTGTGATGATTTTACAATAATGTCTATAATGCCAAGCAGCTCTGGGGTGTATCTGAGGTTAAGGATGAAAAAGAGACTGCGTGCTGTGCAGTGAGGAGGAAACTGAGGCCCAGAAGGCTCAGGGACTGATTCCTTATGATGAGGCCCTGTGAGTGCCACCTGCCGTGTGGGCACAGACAGCAGCCTTGGGCTGATGGGCTGCAACTTCAGGTTGGCCTTGTGTTGAAGGCCCATTGGGCACTGGGTCACCCAGAAAAGTCATTTTCTTTTAGGAACTCTAGGACAGCCAGATATTAATACTATTCTGGGGGTTCTCAGTTTTCTTGTTAGGTGGGGGAGATAAATAAAATGCACATGACTATGAGGGAGAAAGGTCTGGGTCAGAATTCTGGAAGGTCCCTGGGTGCATGTGTCTGTGTTAGGGGTGGAGGTGGCCTCTGACTCAACCAGCTCTAACCTGCCTTCTGCCACTGGCCTCCTCTCCTGAGTGAGAAGTAATCTTCCTCTGAAACCTGCCCAAACCTTCCTTCTAAACCTGCATCTCCAGGCATAGAAGCCATCACCCCATCATGCAGGCCTCCGACCCTTCCCTCTGCTTCACATTAAGTTGTCACCAAGTCTGCCCAAGGCCACCATCTCACAAATCCATCCCATCCTCCTCTCCAGCCTCCACCCTGCCCTGAATGCCTCTGTCATCTCTGGTCTGTGTGACTGCAGTAGTCTCCCCCATCCTCCCTCCACCCTCTCTCCATCCATCTGATTCACCCTACACCCTGGCAAAGCTCTAGTCCCACTGCTTTCAGATGGGTGCCTTTCCATGACACCCCAGGATCTGTAAGATGAAGTCTAAATTCCCAAGACTCTCTGGGATTTGACCACATCCTCCAGGAACCCTCACCGGCTCCCATGCAGAGTGCTCTCCACCTTGAGCTCCCACCACCCGCCCTTTACCCGCACCTGTCTTGTGGTTTGGATCATTTCCCACCTCTTACTCCAGCCAGACAGTGCCTGTCTATCCCCTACATAGCTTTATGTATTCCTTTCACAATCTGAGTGGATGCATGCCCCAGCACTGGTTCCATAGCTTGATTCAGAGCTGCTAGATGGTGCAAGGGAGGGAGGGACAAACACACAGAAGAATGGGCACAAGGCCGAATATGAGCAGTTCTGGAAAACTGTGCCTTACAGAAGATGATGGAAACAACTGATTAAGATGTAGCCTAAGAAAATTTATAGATTTTCTCTTAAATCTACAGAGAAAGGAGTTGATTTCCCAAGTAGATATCTCAAAAGGCTTGCTCTCATCTGCCATACTTTTGCCCCATCACCACCTGTCATCCTGTTAACTAAATGGTAACCCATTATGTCACCTTTCAGTGTGGTGAAGAACCCTGGGCTCATAACAGCCACCCTCATTGTACAGACAGGGAGGCACAGAGGGAAAGAGGCGTGCTGAGTATCACACGGCAAGTGATTAGCTAGGCCAGGGCCAAAAGCCAGACCTGCCTCTACAGCCTAGGAAGGCTGGTTAGGACCAAGGCCAGGGAAAGTCACTTGCTCCCAGAACTGGCATCTCCTGAGTCCAGATCCTGGAGGACAGATCCTAGAAGGGACCTAGCCTTACTCATCTGAGATGGACAAGCTGGATGAAGCAGGATTTCAGAATCCTGTTCAACAGCTGTTCCCTGAGAGCCTCCTGTGAGGCAGGAGCTATGCTGAGATAAACATGGCCCCTGGCTGCTAGGAGTGAGGACTGGGTGGGAAGCAGGTCTATGGCTGAACTCTCTTTCTTTCTTTCTTTCTTTTTTTTTTTTTTGAGACAGTTTTGCTCTTATTGCCTAGGCTGGAATGCAATGGCGAGATCTTGGCTCACCACAACCTCCGCCTCCCAAGTTCAAGCGACTCTTCTGCCTCAGCCTCGGAAGTGGCTGGGACTACAGGCATGCGCCACCACACCTGGCTAATTTTGTATTTTTAGTAGAGACGGGGTTTCTCCATGTTGGTCAGGCTGGTCTCAAACTCCTAATCTCAGGTGATCCGCCTGCCTCGGCCTTCCAAAGTGCTGGGATTACAGGTGTGAGCCACCGTGCCTGGGCAAATGGCTGAACTCTTGTCCCCGGCCCACTGCAGGAAGGACTGCAGCGAGGAAAGCACCAGGTTGGGCACTTCCTGGGGTGGGGGTGGGGGGTGGCTGATGAGGGGTGGGGAATCACGACTGGGCTCCAGCACAGGAGCGAACCTAGAGGGATGGAGTGCGGGGGAGGGGGGTTGGGAGGACTTTTCAGGCTGAGTGGGGATGGTGAGGCCAGGGCAAGGAAACTCAGAAGTGACCTGTGCATCAGCCTTGGGACAGCTGTAGTGAAGGGCTCAGGTAAGGACTGGTGACCCACTCCCAGGGGCCTGAAGACAGGTCTGGAGTGTGTCCTTTCACTCTGAGGACTATGGTGAGGAAGGTGTTAGGGAGCGACAGGAGGAGAACTGTGTTGTAGAAAGTTCATCCCGACGGCCACAGTGGAGAGGATGGGGTGCCCCAGGAGAAAGGGAGCCAGGCCGAGCCTGGCACACGGGGAGCCCGCAGCGGCGAGGGTGCTCGGGAAAGGAGGAACAACAAAAGGGTGAGGGTGATGCTCAGGGCTGTTCTCGGGATGACCGAGCGGGCAAGCCACTTTGCAGCGAGACAGGCTGTCACACTTTGGTGGCTTTTCCAATTCCAACTGTGGCCTCCTCAAACAAAGCAGAAGCCACGCCTTGGCGGGCCGCGGAGCGCAGCCCCTCAGGGTCAGGAAGCCCTCCCTGGCGCAATTCCCGGCTCTCCCGTGGGCCTCCCTCAGGCTCGCCTTCCCCGCGGGCTGCCCGGAAACCCCGCCGGGGCGGTCCGCCCGCGCGCCCTCCACCCGCAGCCCGGGCTCCCGCACGACGGTCGCAGCCGCGTCCCGCACTCCTCAGGACCCGGCTTGCGGCGGGCGAAGGAGACGCGAGGTCCGGGAGCGCGGGGCTCCGGGCCGTGCCGCAGCGGGCGTGCCCGCGGGCTCACCTGACTTGCCCATGGCCGGCTAGGCGCGCTTCTCACTCCCAGCGGCTGTGCTGCACTGCGCTCCCCCAGCCCAGCGCCGCCCGGGAACCCAGGACCGGGCTGAAGACGCAGCCCCTCCCCCGGCGCCGCCCGGCCCCCGCCTTATAAGGAGCGACAGCTGCGGGTGGAGGCGCCCGTGGCCACCCCGCGGGCCGCCCGGAGAGCTCGCCCCGGGGAAGCAGCGCCGCGACTACCCAGGGCTTCTCGGATGCGGCTGCGGAGCCCGGGCCTCCCGGATCCCGTCCTGGGCTGTTCCTTCCCCGGGACGCGTGGGGAAGCCCGCGCCTGCTGGGATCCGCATGGCAGCTGCGCGCCGACGCAAGGCGTTGACAGCGGGGCGCAGGGTCGCGGCACGAGGGGCGTTCCGGCCGGCGCCACCAGGGGGCGTCCTCTCCATGCAGCGGCCTGACCCAACATAGCCCCGGGGTGTGCCCCCATCCCCGGTGACCCCGGGGCTCCAGAGGGCGGCTGGTCCGGGGAGGGGGATGCTCCTCTCCCAGGACACGCCCTCTACTGCCTGTAGGGGTGGAAGCGCGGCCGCCTCTAACCCGTCCACTCGCCCCTCATAACCTCCCAGACCAAGCCAATTCCCCACCCTCCTGTCTGGCCCCAGACCTGTCTCCCCAACGCCCCACCTTTTCCCCGTACACTAGTCAAACTAGATTTCTTACCATTCCCCAACCATGTTCTGGGATTTCCCACCTCCCTGCCTTTCCTCAGGCCGTCCCTCCGCCGGGAGTGCTGGCCCTGGAGCCACCATTCCACTGCAGCCCATCCCTCAGGGTTGGCCGGTCTTCCCAACTTCCGGGTGCCCTGACCTCTCCTGCCCCTGGGGGCAGCACACACCCGGTTCTGGGGAGACTGGGTCCTACCCATGGCCCCTGCCCCGTGGAAGAAGAGCACTGACTTGACAGCACAGCCCAAGTCACCTGTGCTAGACTTCCCGCAGGCCTCCTTTCTGGAGAAGGGGCTCAGTACACATCAAATGAAGGGAGGGAATTTTAAGGCTTTTCAATCGGTGGGCACTGAAGTGAACTGGGCCACTGATTATGAGGCTAGAATTTGTAATATCAAGGGCTTTCGAATGTCCGGCAGGGCAATGGCTGGGCACTGTTCTCTCCATTCCTTTCCCCATGTCAGGCAATTACACTTACTGTGTTTAGTACAGTCATGCATAATGACATTTCAGTCAATGCTGACCACATACACCATGGTAGCCCCAAGAGATAACGATACCATGCTTTTACTATTTTTCTATGTTTAGATTGGTTTATATATATAAATGTTTATCATTGTGTTACAATCACCGACAGCATTCAGTACAGTGACTTGCTGTGCACGCTTGTGCCTAGGAGCAACAGGCTATGCTACATAGCCTTGGTGCATAGTAAGCTACAGCATTTAGGTTGGTGTGAGTACACTCTCTGATGTTTGCACAACGAAATCACCTAATAACACATTTCTTTATTTTTATTTTTATTTTTGAAATGGAGTCCCGCTCTGTCGCTCATACTGGAGTGCAGCGGCACTATGAGGGCTCACTGCAACCTCCACCTTTTGGGTTCAAGTGATTCTCCTGCCTCAGCCTCCTGAGTAGCTGGGATTACAGGTGCCCGCGAACACACCCAGCTAATATTTGCATTTTTAGTAGAGATGGGGTTTCACCATGTTAAGCAGGCTGATCCTGAACTCCTGACCTCAGGTGATCCACCCATCTTGGTCTTCCAAAGTGCTGGGATGACAGGCATGAGCCACTGCACCACTACACCATCTTTTAACTTGTTTCTTTATATTGAAAATAGACAGCTTATAGTTGACAAGATGCAGCTGGGTCTTTTTTCTTTTCATCCAGTCTGACAATGTCTGCCTTTTAATTTGTATTAATACTATTAATAATTTATACTTGAAAACATTTTCTTTTTCTTTTTTTTTTTTTTTTTTTGTGAGACGGAGTCTTACTCTGTTTTGAAGGCTGGGGGCTCACTGCAACTTCTGCCTCCTAGGTTCAAGCAATTCTCCTGCCTGAGGTTCCCCCCGCCCACCCAGTAGCTGGGATTATAGGTGGGCACTACTATCCCCGGCTAAGTTTTGTATTTTTAGTAGAGATGGGGTTTCTCCATGTTGACCAGGTTGGTCTTGAACTCCTGACCTCAGATGATCCGCCTGCGTCGGCCTCCCGAAGTGCTGTGACTACAGGCGTGAGCCGCTGTGGCCGGCCCAATAACATTGTTTTCAAATTTGTATGGAATAAATACAAAAATTTACCAAGTGTTAGATCTTAAACTAAGCCATAATAAATTCCTGAAAGTAGAAAAAGTTTGGCCAAATTTTCTGAACACAATGTAATAAAACTAAATAACAAAAGACTAACTAAAATTTTTTGAACCATCTATAAAATAAAAAAAATCCCTCCTATAGCACTGAAAGGCAAAATCAAAACACGTTCAGATATGAATAACAATCTGAATACTCTGCAGGCCGGGTGTGGTGGCTCACACCTATAATCCTAGCACTTTGGGAAGCCAAGGCAGGTGAATTGCTTAAGAACAGGAGTTTGAGATGAGCAATGTAGAGGGACCCTGTGTCTCACAAAATAAAAAAATTACAAAAATTAGCCAGGTGTGGTGGCACATGCCTGTAGCCCCAGCTCCTCAGGAGGCTGAGATGGGAGGATCACTTGATCACAGGAGGTAAAGCCTATAGTGAGCTGTGACTGTGCCACCGCACTCCAGCCTGGGCAACAGAGCAAGATCCTGTCTCAAAAACAAACAAACAAAACAAACAAACAAACAAACTCTGTAATTGTTAAGAGTGTGAAGCATGGGCTTGAAGTCTTGTGGCCCACATTCAGTTTCTGGCTCTGCTGCTCACAGAGACTGTGGCTGTGGTCTGGGTGCTTGGGTTTCTCCATGTCTGTTTTCTTTTCTGTAAAATGGAGGTAATAATTATTATCTTAGAATTTGTTTGTTTGTTTGTTTTTAGAGACGGTTTCTTGCTATGGTGCCCAGGCTGGAGCACAGAAGCTCATGCAGCCTTGAATTCCTGGGCTCAGATGATTGTGCTGCCTCTGCCTCCCAAGTAGCTGGAACTACAGGTGAGTGCCATGGCACCTGGTATAGAGGCTTTTTTTTTTCTTAAAGAGTGAGATGCATTTTAAAAGCAGCCTTTAAATACTGCTTCTTTTCTTTTTTTTTTTTTTAAAGATGGGGTTTCGGCCGGGCGCGGTGGCTCAAGCCTGTAATCCCAGCACTTTGGGAGGCCGAGGCGGGTGGATCACGAGGTCAAGAGATCGAGACCATCCTGGTCAACATGGTGAA